GCTATGTTAGAAACCTAATTTAACTCAGTAACTGACAGTTGACCACTAGGTTTTAGAAAAGGCTACTGAATGGGAACTGTAATCTATTTGTCAAAGTGGCGTCTTCTAACAGAAATGTCAAATTATTCGTTGCGTCGATCTGGCCGTTTATTTCTACAAAATGTTGTAGACCTAAAAAACATATGCCAGTTTACGCCGTCTCTGGCGTAGACGCTATATCCGACTATCGACCAAAGGGCGTGTGTACTGCTCAACAGTTCGCTCCGTCCTCCTTTATGGTTGTGAGACCTGGTCATTGAGAGCAGAAGACATGAAAAGATTAGCTGTGTTCGATCATAGGTGCCTGGGTTCTATCTCCCATGTGAAGTGGTATAATAAGGTGAGCAATATTGAGGTTAGGCGTCGAGTGCTAGGTAAGGAGGGGAAATCAGTCGACGAGGTTGTGAAATTACATCGACTGAGATTGTTTAGGACATGTGTTACGTATGCCTAGTCATCGCCTTCCTCGACGCGCAATGTTAGCTGATATAGGGTCAGGCTGGAAAAGAGCTAGCGGTGGTCAAACTAAAACATGCCTTCATCAGTCAATGAAATCTACAACAGTTAGTCTAGGCCACGTAGGAAAGTGTAGACTTCCTGGTCGGGGTCCTCGGGACGGTAAAAACCAATGAAGGCTGGAAACAATTGGTGACATTGCTCAAAATCGTTCCCAGTGGCGCAGATGCATCCACTCCTTGTGACTTATGATTTCGAATGAAACTGTTTTGTTCTTCGTTATTACTATTCCTTTGTCTCACACCTCTGTTTACTGTCTCTAATACGCACTTCTCCTGCTTTCTTCTCATGCTTTGTGTGATACATGGAGTGTGGCGAAAACCTACCGACCGAATACGTATTTATAGTGACTAACAAAGATGGGTAGCGGTCAACCGGTTATTTGCCTTAAAATCACTGTTCCTTCTACCCATGGTCTGGTATATGTAAGCTGTCGATGCACACTGAATGATCACTACAGAATAAAAGTAATGCACGTTAGCTAGTTACAATGAAATCGTAAAATTTCTTTGTTTCAACATTTTTGTTTGTTAATTCCGTTTTAAGCATGAACTATTAGGTTATCATCAAAAGGCGATAAGTTAAGTTGGAAACTAGTTTAGGATTACGGTTTAAGAGGTAAGAGCCTTCCAAAATTAACCTATGGTCCCTTTAGTCAGGGCGGGTATGTCTATAAGTCATTTTTACTCAATAAAAAATTATAGATGTAGCGTTATGCGAACCATATTCAGATTTATTGGTTTCTAAAATTTGGACGTTAGGTATATTATTGTAAAGATTGTTATAAAAATTTTGTTTCCCACTAACGGTGAGAGAAAGCTGCGTTTTTATTGACGTTTCACTGTCTAGTGCAGCATCTTACATTTAACTGCGGCAAATCACATGCTGAACAGTCTATTCAAAAGACCCTCCATTTTGACTGCATTTTTATCGGCGAGGGTTGTATAATCAATGAGATTGTTTCCTGGTAATAGGTCAATCTGTGAGTGGCTAAATTTGGCCACATCGATTAGCACATCTGTGATGAAATTAAACGAATAGGGACATTGGGCATCCTTGATGAATAACACTGGTTGCCTTTACTTCATACGACAACTCTATAAGATCTTACGTAGCTGCATGAGTTCGAGTAGAGTACCTTGATCAGTATGATACACTTTTCCGCCACTCGCTTCACGACCAGAAATTACTATAGCACCTGTCTGTCGATGGAGTCAAATGCTGCCCATTTCAATTATTAGATGCCGGTGAGTATAACTTTCAGAATTTATCGAAGAGTGGATATATGATCAATAACCCCTCGTCCAGGCTTAAAGCCTGGCTAATCTTTTCGAGTTTGTTTCACACCAGCACTGCTTAGTCTACGGAAGATTAGTGACCATGGGATTTTATATACACGCTTAGTCAAACTGATCCCCTTATGATTATCACAGCAAAATTCCTCCTTACGAGCTGGGACAGTCAATGATTTTCACTAATTTATTTCCAGCACACTACACACTATCCTAGCTAATCATCATTGCTCTTAAACTCCACTGTAGTTACGCCATCACTGCTTTGCCCCGTTTTCGATTTTAGACACCTTTTCCAACCTCAGTTAAAGTTGGAAGACCGATTCAGGTCAGGGATAGTAAGATTATCAGAACATAAGAATTTAGCTAAAGGGAAAATGATTGACCCTGAAAAGATAAGTAATTTAGAAAAAAGCTCAGCTATTGCACTTCACGCAATAACAAACAACCACACAATAGGGTGGGATAGGGTTAAAATTCTAAAAAGTAATATAGGTAGGTGGAAAGAGAGGTTGATTACGGAATCCTTATTCATCGAGTCTACACCCAACACATGCAACAGAAGTGACTCAATGCAAATACCAGAAATATGGAAGATATTATTACCGCCAGTCAAATCAGAAGAAGATAAATAGTCTTAAAATTCTATTTCCTTTCAAGCACATCATAACATTCTAACAATCAACTTATTATGACTATAAAAACACTCGTCGTAATTCCCATCTAATTGCAATGGATTAATAACACTCGTATTATTGCTACCAGTCAAATCAGAAGCGGATAATAAATAATCTTAAATTGTATTCTATTTCCATTCAAACACATCAAAAACATTCTATCAATCAACTTATTATGACTGTAAAAACACTCGTTGTATTTCCCATCTAATTGCAATGGATTAATAACACTCGTACTATTATTTCTGAATGTACATTATCTCATATTGAATTTTATTCCAATATCTAGTCGATTCCACACATGTATATAAATGAAGGAAAGAAGTTGTGTGAGTAACTTGATATGATTATGAGCAATAGTTTGTGCTCGAAACGTCATCAGTTAATATAACTGTACTACACTGTGTGATTTAAAAATAAATTCTTATCCATTATGGAATTATACTCTACCACAGTGCCCAAGTTTTATACTTATATCAATAATTGGAAGACCGATATATACGTCCCACTCAAGTAGACGTTGGATGCTGGGAGAATTCAGCGTATCTCTAGGCCAGTTAAGTTGCTCTTCAGAGTATTATCATGAACGTTCTTATCGTCTATCGTGGGAGGTAATTAGAGTGTTATCCTCTGAAATTGTTTCAATTACCCCTGCCTTTTTCCTTAATGAGTCTAAATAATTGTCTAGTGTTGCCTAACGGCGATGCTTTTTCTATCTACGTCTATGCAGCGTCGTTGCACAGATTTTTAGCCAGCTTTCATTTGATCAGCTTTCGATCCTCGTCATTCTGGAAATGATTTTTAGGGATAATTGTTTGTATCATCTGAACAGTTACTCTCTCCAAACCAACTTGTTAAACTAAGCAGTGTAACTCTACGGGTGACTGAGACCTTACGTTGTCTACAAACAGCAACATTTAAGACACGATCGTCATCCTCAGTTCATCCACTTAAAGCAATAACAGAAGTTATAAGACCGTTCCTGAAAAAAACTTATTACAAATGTGCGAGTGCATATGGTATCTAACAATAAATGTTTATTAAGGTCGCGATCAACAACAGTGTGTCCTTATTAGTTTATCTCAAACAGGTGTTTGGAGTAAAATAGTTTTCATTTTATGTCATTGGTAAGCGGTTCAGAAAACTCGGAGTAAAATATAAAAAAGTTAAAAAAATGGCATTTTTTTGCATAACAAAAGTCTTGATAATTTAGTGAATCTTTGAAGATTATATTGTGTATTTCAGTAATTGTATTGTTTTCCAAATTTAAAAAGCAGTCCAAATAAATGAACTGTTGTTAGATGGTTGGAGGTATTCCATATGAAGCCTTGGATATACGTTCCGTGCTTGTTGGTATTCGTCAGCAAGGCGTATCTACAGTCTTGAAGGAACTCATGTCCCTTCTGAGATTTGAACCCGTGTAACTCAGTGCTACAGTCAGAGACGTTACCATTAAGCTATTTAGGCTCAAATAGCTGATGAGAGTCAGTAGCTACGAAAACCAGGTCAAAGGCTTTGATAGGATCCCACACACTTTGTTATTGTTCAATCATCTTAACGACTGTTAATCTCGCATGAGTGGTATATCATCATTTCCCACGCATTTTGTTATTGAGTATTACGACCAATTATTTCAAATACTGTTAGCTGTCTGTATTGGTTGTAAAAATGTATAAATACCATTTCCTAAATAAGTTTCTTTGTCGTCGTAGTTTGTCGTAGTTGTTGTACTACAATACACAGTCACAGACCAGACTTTGTCTTTTGATATTTACGTGGTTCGCTGAATCGGAAGGCACCAGGAGCAGATAGGCATATTAGTCAGGCGCAGACAGAACAAGGCAACAACGACCTCATTTAATTCCCCTACAGTTATAACAGGCTTTCTGCCAATTCCCTCCAATCCTCCAATAATGACAACAAAAGCTCAGGGTGCACCGTGATTGCAAGTCACCTGGTATGCTGGCCACATTACAAACTGGACTGATAGAATTCAACCTGCATCAAATGATGGACTAAACTCATGATATTAGTTACTACCTAGCGTCCAATCAAATTAAAAATATATGAACGCAATACACTTGTTTCATTCTAAGAGATTGAATAATCCATGGTAAAGTACATGTTAAAAGAGATATCCAGTTACGGTGTGAACCACACATACAGAACCAGTTATTTTCCTACTATCTATTTACCTAAATCCTTTTTTGTGTAGAATGCAGTTTATATGTACGTATCATTTGTTGGAAGTGAAATGATTCAGTGGATTTCAGCCCTGCCGAAAAAGCATGAATTATCATGATTTCCTTAAAGTTTATCATATCTTATTAAACTATAATATAATCTGAGTTATCTTTTTATTTTCCTGTGAGATTATTTTATACCCTGTCATTTTCACTGATATAGTCTTTCCTTTTATTATGATTTAACACACAGGTTACAATCCAGAAGACAGACCTACTAGCCTTATTCTAAAATGGCAGAAAAACGTTCTGCACGACAACGTAAAGTTCAAAATTATTCTCTCTTAGCAGACGAAAGTGATGAGGAATTCTTTTATGATGATGAACCAGTCAAACATAAGAAGTACGATGATGATGATGACATAGTAGAAAAGTCAACCAGTAAATCTACTAAAACTAAAAAGAAAACACCGAAGGAAAAGTCAGTGAAAAAACCACCCGAGGCAACTCCTGCATCAAAAGAGAATCAACTTCCTAAAACTGTTAATGAAATAAAGCCGACTAATTTAAGTCCTGCAGTGCTGCCTCACTCTGAAACACCTAAATCACCTGTAATCAATCCCACGTCGAAATTCCTGTCGAAATCTGTCCCTTCTACTCCTGTTCATTCAGCTGTATCATTGTCTAATGCAGCAGTTACGCCACCACCGTCTTTAGGTAAGGCGTTTATTCCTGTCACTCCATCTAGCGGTCTGCGTCTTGGTTTGTCACGTACAAAAAAATTACGACCTTTGCACACAAATGTACGCATAACATAATCTACAGGATATTTTTGTGTTTTGTACATAGAAAAAATTTTCGAAACCTTACTTTATTTGTATTTTAGAAAACTATCTGTATATAAAAGTACAATTATGTATTATTATCATTGTGACTTTTCAGGGCAATACTCTACATGTGTTGTTATGATTTCCAAGTACATATTATCAAGTATACATCCTTCTTTGTAATCTAATCCACTACTAAATTTATTTTATACATATATATTTGTATTTACATTATGAAGTGTTGTTTCTTTCAATAATTGGGGACTGTATAGTTTACAGTTCACAATTTATTTAGGATAGTAGGCTATATGCCTGTGTTAATCCTTTCGATTTGTTGCACACAGGAGGTTCAATCTCGCCTTGAATGAATCAACGGATGGCGCTGATACGACGTGTTCCGGTAGGGAGTTCCAATGGTTCACAATTCGATGCGAAAAACTGACCTCCAGACGCAGACGATTCGACCGTGGTTTTTGAACCTTGAGGTGATGTCCTCGCAATTGGTTGGTGCTTGAAGGAAGAAATAAATCAGATAAATTAGCTCAAAAATCATTTCTTAGGATACGGTATGCTAGTATTAGGTCACCCCTAAGTCGTCCGTATGACAGTGGAAATAAACCCAGTCGATTTAACCTCTCCTCATATGAGAGGGTTGAGAAACCCTTTATTAGCTTAGTTCCTACTCTTTGCACCCTTTCTAATAAGTCTATTTCGTATTTGAGACACGGGCTCGCTGCCTGGATCTCATATTCCAAATGAAGTCTGATATAAGTCGGATATAATATACGAAATATATCAGCGTCGAAGTTCGCAGAAGCCTTGCGTATGGCCCATAATATTCGAAAACCCTTAGTGGCTGCAGCTCCACAGTTTGTTGCTGTTTTCAAGTCATGCTGCACAACCACTCCCAAGTCCTTGTACTCAGTGACCACTGGGAGAGTAATGCCATTCATTGAGTAATTGTGCACGTGACTATGAGATATATGCGTAACTACACTCTTGCTTAAGTTAATCTCCAGGGCCCAGTGCTCACACCAATCACTTAACAAGTTTAAATCTTAGTTGAGTTCGAAAATAAAGATTTAGCTGGCTATCCGATTCTTACTACCAACGTTTTGGTCACTAATCCCAATACTTTAAAGAATGAAACATGATTGAGAAAATGGGTCACTGAGCGTTCCACCAAAATATTATGTAGGTAGGTGATGTGTTTTGTTTTGATTCATTCAGGTGAATTTCCCCTACTTCATTTAGATGAAGCTGTGAGTGATAGTCAGACTATTTAGGATCATTATTGTTGATGGTTTGTCTCTGCAGTAAATGTAAGAAATTCTTATATAAGAGATTTCACATTCTTGATGAAGATGAACAATTGTATATCCTATGGAAAGCAGTAGGCTGAAAATTGTGACTCATGTCTTAGTATTTTAGAGTAGTTGATTTGGCGTCAGATAATTTGATACCAGCGCTTAAAGAGCTAGTATTAGACAAATCTGTTGTTGTAATAATAGTAATATGAAATGCAATTAAAACTAAAATGTTTGTGATTATAATCGTAGTTAAATGTCAAGTGGCAAAGCAAATTAATGTCATATATAGAATAATTCATAGGATGGATAGAACTTGAAAAAGGTGTGCAATTATAAGATTAGTAGACAAATCGAGTTAAATAAAAACGTTACGTAATATTGTGTGAAATTTAATAGCATAGAATTTAATGTTGTAAAAAGGAATTGATTTAGAATGACAAGTGAAATAATACCGGGGACAATTAAAAGTGAGAGTAGTAATAGTAACAATTGACTTAATAAGGAAGAGTATACAAATTGAATAGACAAAAATGAAGAATTGGTAGAGCTAAAATATGATTGGGGATTACCATACTTTAGCATAGAGGGATTAAGACCATGAAAGTTGGAGGGGTTGAAGGAACTTTTTCTATACACAGAGATCTGGCTTTTCTGTTTCGATAGCCAAAGCTTCAGCAATACAGATGAGTCGGGTACGTAGAGATTTGGGTAAACTACTCTTTGCCTTGTAGATGACTTTGAAGGCGGAGGCTATAGAGATAGGGTGATCATTATCGACCAGTTGTTCAATGATCGCGCTTCTTATTGCTCCACTTCCACCTTTTCGTAACCATGCAGGATAGTGTTCCTGCACCCTCTTGGACAAAACTCGTGTCGAACGACCGATATACCTAGCTCCACACGAGCAGGTGAATTGATAAACACATATAGAGTTGGTCAACAGCGGGATCTTGTCTTTCAGGTTATTGAACAATAATGCATTCACACCTATGTTTCAATTCCCTCACCGGATATAACTTCTTAAAAATCTGTTGTGTCAGTTGGAGCATATTAACACTTTCAATGTTTTTATTGAATCATAATGTAAAGTTATAATAAGCTTTTGTTTTTAGTGAGATAGATATTTCACTAATTGGTAATAAGTATATTTTGTTTAACAAACCTTTCTCTTCACTGATCTAGGCTTTCGGAAACTAATTAACGTGTTGAGGCGTTGTGATTCTTATCTATCTTGCAAGTTTTGAGCACAACTGGTCAGTACAGCCTGCTGCGCACATCTAATTATGTCAATTTTTAGTTCTAAGTGTTTTTCCTAGGAGGCTGCTTCACAATTTCCCCCCTTATTTTAACTCCACAATTTTCCCTTTAGTCCCTTTTAGCTTCTTATTTTCACTTATAGAGTTAGGGGAAAGTATAAAAAAAGGAGTAGGGTTATATACAGCTTACACAAAACTGATGCCAATTTATCTATGATAAAAAAGAACGTCAAATAACCAGTTGACTATTGAAAATTAATCTGATAGACGCTAGTGACTGACTACAAGATGAAATTGCCTGGAGTTCTAGTGAGAAGTTGTGACCAGTGAGAATCACTAGGACAGATATGAGGATGAATATTCGCTAATGATATTGGCTAGCGATCGGGCTAGCCAATCGTAAATTGACAGACGTTAGAATTCATGGACCATTGGACTCAGGTTCCAGCTGGGTCTGTGGGCTTGGCCGTGCAGCTGGAAGGTTCCAGGTTCGACCTCTGGTGGGGTCGTGGGAACGTACTGATAGAGTCCCATACGCTGACGAAACAGCTGTCCAGTACTGCTAGGTTGGTTTTGACTGATTAAACTAGAGACAGAAAGTAGTTACTGAAATACAATTAAGTAAGCAAGTAATTGATTAGAAAATGCATCAATACCTTGCTATTGTCAATGCATATTTTGACCTTGATCTTCTTTTCAATGGATTAAAATTCCCTAGATAAATCGGGGCTGTCTTTTTGGTGGAATTATGAACAGTAAATTGTTTCCTGAATATTACTGTTTCACTCTGATACATCTCACTTATGACATCACCAGACAAGCCCTCGAGTGGAACCCGAAAGGGAAGCGGATAGTTGGTCGTCCAAGGGTGACTTGGAGGAGGTCATATGACGAGGAGATGAAAACGTGTGGGCAGACTTGGAGCCAGGTGAAGACTCTAGCAGAGAACCGAATGCAATGGAGACGCACAGCTGAAGCCCTATTTTTACTGTAGGAATTAAACGAAACAATAATAATAAAGAAAGACCATATATATAGGATAAAATGGCATCATCATTCTATTTTACAGGTTCTCATCATCAGTAGAACAACTGGATCTCGTCTTTCCAACTCATATCATTTATAGGTACGACGTTTTCTTTCTTTCCCTTTTCTCTTTTTTTCTGTTATGTGCTGCTTTGTTTCTTTCTTCCTTACAAACTCTATTTTAAAAAAACATTCTTCTTCGTTCTTTCACACTCTGTATATCTTGACCTTTTGTTACCGCTTACGCCAGTAAATATGCTAGCGTCTACTTTTCTAACACCTTCAAACACTCTGTTCAATTTTGGCTTTGCTACCGACATGCCAATATGTTGTCAAAACTAACTGAGATTACCCTTAATCTATGTAGAATTTTATTTCTTGTTAATGCACTAACTGGATGCAATGCTGTAGTGAAATACTGAGAATTCCATTCTGTATCACAAGTACTGTTTTGGAATAAAGCAAATTATTATTATTATTACCTGAAGTTACGATGACAATTACATACTTCAATGTTTCAATGGTAGTAGAGAAAACATTACAAAATCATGCATACTGAATGTAAGCAATACAACTTTTGGTTTAAGTTACCATCAATTTATATGTTTTCAAAATAGAAAAGGAGAGTGGGGAATGAGTAGATAGAAAACAGAAAAATCTAATAAACAGTGTTAGCTAGTAGGTTTACATAGCAACTCAGGAAAGGTTTTTATTTCATAAAATTGAAAAGCTTGCTCAGCTAGTTGAAATCACCAATATGGATGACTAATCATTGTAATCAAATTGCAGTTACCAAGGCAGTGAGAGATTGATTACACTCTCTTTTTGTGCATGCATAAGTTTGGTTTGAAACGCTTGATTGCAATTGCTTCAGCAAATTGTAGTTAATTTGCTATTCTTTGTATGTTTAATATTTTGAAGGATTTAGAAATCTCGACGAAGGGATCCGTATTCATAAGGTGTCTAGTAACTGCATTTTGTGAATATTTGCTTAATTTTAGACATAATTTTCTAAGGATATGCTCTAAAAATCGGATAGAAGCTTTTCTTTCTGTCCTTCCAATGCACTTGCTCCTGCAAGTGCACGTAAATTCGTAAACGCAGCTGGAATTGACATCATTAGGGTACTTATCCCGGTGGATTGCCTTATAGAGCATGTGGTACTGTATAGCGTTACGAGCTAAGCTTTAGGGAAGCATCTTGTAATTGCTCCTTTCGTTCTCTTGTCAATCTTTCGTGATACTGCTTCTCCTTTGAGTGGGAAACAAATGACCACTTTCTTCTTTTCAACAGTTGAGTGTTTCGTTCTCTCTCTCGTTCTTTTTTTTACTGTACTTTTGGATAAATCCATTTGGATGCCCATTTTCCCTTAGGCATTTTTCAACAAGGCATAATTCTT